ATTCCTTAGATTTTTACTTATTATTTCATGAGAGACATGCAATTTCAGGGCCATTTCACGAGAGTGTGTTGCCTTGGGTTAGACTCAACAAGCGTCTTCAGAGCATCAATATCGGTTGCAACATGTCGGCCCCTGCCATCACAGTTTTTAAGGCTAAAGTCACCTAAATGAAATTTGCAGAACCATTGTTGACACTTACAAACATTCAAAACATTTCCATAAACTTCTTTGATATTCTTTGTGGCTACAGAGCTGTTGTTTCCCTTCTTGTATTCAAACAGCATTACATGCCAAGTGTGTCTCGTCATGTGCCATCACTATAAGGGATTAAAGTATACTAAACTTTACACATTATACAGGCTACACTAACGTGATGTTTAGGTGGTTTATTTAACTATTATACATGACGTATATTTTTGGGGGGTGGTTAATGAAAGTGTTCCAAAATATGATATTAATTTCTTGAAAACCTAATATAATCCAGTCATATGGTTTCTTTTATTTTCTTTAGTGGAAGAGAATGTAGAAGGCAGGAATCATCAAATCTTTGAAGTAGGCTTTTTAAGGTCAACTGAAACTACAACAGTAAGGGGAGTCCTTACAGGGTTAGGTAGCACTATGCATTTTATCCTATCGGCCACACCACCACACAACAAACCAAGCCATTCCCACTGGTTTGGTCATCTGGATGTATCGTGGGTTTTCCTCAGGATTTAGGTCTGAGTTATTTTCTCCTTGCATCTGATTATCTCATCATTATGTCACTTCCCTGGGGGATGGGGAAGAACTCCATTGATTTTGTGATTAAAAGATCTGGGTCACCATTTCAAGAAATAAAGATTTGGTTTCTGTGAAGAAGAAGACATAACCACAAAATACACATAAACACACTGTATTTATCAACACCCCAAAACAAAGCAAGAAAGCTAATGGTCTGGAGAGATCAGCCATTCTACTGATGGCTATTTTTATATTATTTTAACTTTCATTATGCAATATTTATGTAAACATCGTCAGAACATTAATAATGTATATTAGTATTTTATGAATCATGCAAGCTATTTTGCTTAAAGATTGTAATGATTCTTTTTACAGTTACTCAGAGAACTAAAACATTCAAATGTCATCCACCTACAACGTGTATTTTTGTCTCATGTAGACCGCAAAGTATGGTTGTTATTTGACTATGCTGAACATGATCTTTGGGTGAGTATTTCTTTCATGTACTGATTAGTGTACATGCATATAATATCTTCTTAGAACAAATTATCACAGTATTCATACAGAGGCAAACAATTCTTTCTGTTTTTTATTTGTGTAATTATTTTTCTGAAAAAAATTAAATAAACATGTCAGTGTGCATAGTGTTTTTGGTAGGTAATAAAACTGCTCAAAAATACTCAAATTGGTATATTAGTTTGGTGACTAACCATTCTGCTTTGGGCTCGTGTAATTTGCAGAAAATGTCACAAATTTCACTTGTGCAACAATACATGTGGTAACTGAGATTTCTTAAAGTATCCTCTCAAGAACTGGTAAGATTTTGTTAAAGATTATAAGTATCTTGTATAAAAAGAATGACATTATTTTAATTAAGTGTTTTTACTAAAAGTATGTTATTTATCTATTGTAGTTATTTGCACTCAAACTCTTAACAAATTGAGTGCAAGGTGATTTTCATTTTAAGTATAAAAATACTTTTCTCCATCTTATAGTTTTATATTTCACTGGCATAACCTTTAGAACCTCCTAAATGAAAATCAATAGTTTTTAAGGTAAATGTTTATATTTTATTTTTCATTTTCGTTACCATATCACTAACTCTAGCTATTATCATTAATGTACAATGCAATGAAACAATTAAAATTAGGGAATAGAAAAAAAAATACATACCTTTTAATTTTTTGTAGAAAATCTTATGTTAAATTCATAATTTCAGTTTTTTTCCTTTTCACATAGTTAATTTTAATGTTTTATTTTCATTTCTTGTCCTTTACCACTCATTATTCATCTTGACACAAGTCAACTATGCCCTCAAGGCATATGACAGTGTCTCTGGCAGACATGTGTAACAAAATTTTCATGCACCTCATAATATCGTAAGCCTTGAGAACTGACACAAAGTATGATGTATATTTAAAACATTTTTAAACTTTTCAATTATGCATTTGAGAACATAACTAATACATAATTAACTAAAATATAAAAGTAAGACCTAAATACAATTTAAACTGTATCTCTTAACTATAACATATTTAGGTAAGAAACAACCGTAAGTGCTATAGTTGATCAAGTAGCCAATATTACAGTCAGTTACATGTACTCTCTGATGACAACTGCATGCCAATTTCAAAATAACCATTAGATTACAGTGCAAAACTAGCTCTTTCTAATGACTATACACATGTATATGTAACATCTACATGTAGGCTATAAAGCTCAAACAAATCTGTTGAAGGTGGGTGTGGCACCTGTCAGGGGTTAAAAAAAATTATTACTTTATTCAACTGCATTTATTCAGAGAACTTTGAAATGTATGAGTCAAAAGGTTATGTAAGTATTTTATAGTCTAGACGTACCTCTACAGAACTGCCATTGTATTATTGAAGCTACAGAGTGCCAAAGTAGAGAATTGTCTTAGCTCATTGGTCACATGACAATACATCTGAAGTTTTAAGTAGTTTTAAAGGTTTCTTTTGAAATAAAGGACTTAAAACTTAGATAACATAAATCTAGGAATCATAACATACATTATAATGTTAATTTCATTCACATACTTTGATAGTAAAGGTGTTTAATACAATTTTGAATGTAACAGAGTGATTTGTGTAAAAAGTTTTTAAAGGGGTACCTGTTGTGAAAGGGTTAAAGGTTACCACTTAGCAATCTATATAGGTCCAATCCAAAAAAATCTGCTTCTACTGCTATTTATGTTAATTATGTATGCATGCATATTTGTTTCATTAAAAAATTATGTAACACATTTCTGGCTGAAAAAATAATAATATAATAAGTTAATTTTTTTAAAGAGCTAGTTGAAACATAGTTTATTTAAGTTAAAATTGTGTTGATTAATAACCAAGAATTAATATTCTGTGCTTGTCATCTAGAATTACAGTCTAATCACCTCACAGGACAAACATTAAGCACTACAGAGAGCCCAAACAAATAGCAATTTAACAAATCATTTTGTAGTTTATTGTGTTTTATTAGCTATTAATTTTCATTGAAACCAAGGAATGATCTCGTCTATACAAAACTTGTACAAAAATATAACATGATGATGTTTCTCCCTTGTTATTTTTTGTTTTAAATTATTTTTATTTTTACCAATAATTAATTTTCATTTAGGTTTTTTTTGGAGGGGGGGGTATCTTGGGATATTCTTTGTAGTCTTGATTGTAGTCAGATTTAGAAATTGAATATATTTGTAATTTGTGTATTTTTATTAGTTTACATTTTATCTAAATACTTTGCAATTATTATTTTTTTTGTAACTTGAGGCCAACAACAGCCCTCTAAGTGCAGCTGTTCCCATCAAATTAAAGATTGAAACTCTATAAAACACGTTATATTTATGAGTTTTGATTCTAAGGTACACTAATGTTTTGTTATTTGTATCACGTTTTATCAGAAGCTGATAAAGGATTTTAGGTTTTTCTTTGTGTTAAATCTGTTTGTTATCATTTTTTGTGAAAGCACATAATTAAGTTCCATCGAGCAGCAAAAGCGAACAAAAAGCCTGTAGCCACTCCAAAGGGAATGGTTAAATCTCTTCTATATCAGATCCTTGATGGGATTCACTATCTCCATGCCAACTGGGTTCTTCACCGGGATTTGGTGAGTTGGTTTTAAATAATTTTCAAAGTGGCATATTTTTAAGAGAGATTTTTTTCTAGTTAAAGTGAACAAATACAGATTTAGCATATGATGATGATTAGCTGTGCTATGTTTAAATTTAAGAGAAGGTTGCTGTTTTAAGGGAGTGGTAAAGTTTTCATTACTTTCTTTTGTTAAAGTTTTAGTTTTTAGTCCATAAATCAGTTTCCATTTATTTATTTGAGATTCTGTGTTCAGCAGGTTTAGTTACAAAAAGTAATGACTACCAATAAAGTAATTTTGATTCAATATGGGATTTTTTCTTGATGATTTTCTTGGATAATTTTATCATTGATTCAACTTCATTTTTGAAAGATATCATGTGTCCTTCCAGAAGAAAGCTTAGAATAAAATGTTTATTCAAACATTTAACTAAAAGTTTTAAATAAATTTGCCACTTCCTTGATTATTTCATAATTATCTACATACATATAACTGTATAAATTCATAGTTTCATTTAAACAGACATTCCAAGTTTTAAGTACATTTAGTTATTTTATAATACAAAGTGTTTATCATTGGTCTTAAAATTTATTTTTTTGGTAGCTAAGATACATTTATATCTGTTTAGAAACCAGCCAACATTTTAGTAATGGGTGAAGGTCCTGAAAGAGGTAGAGTAAAAATAGGTAAGTCAGTTAAACAGAACAGAGTTTTTGATAAATCAGTATATTAATATATATAAAAGTTTTAGAAGAGTAAATTATA